GCTGCACTTGGATTTTGCGAGGCCGTTCCAGGGACAGATCTTCTTCATCCTAGTAGACGCTTACAGTAAGTGGCTAGAAGTGGTGCCAGTACCTTCAACCTCCTCAAAGGCGGCCATCAGTGCAATGCGCCACATCTTCAGCTCACACGGCCTTCCGGACACCCTGGTGACCGACAACGGCACGCCTTTCACCTCCAGCGAGTTCCAGGACTTCACGAGGTACTGCGGGATTCGCCACGTCCAGTCAGCGCCCTTCCACCCGGCCACCAACGGCCAGGCAGAACGCATGGTGCACACCACCAAGGAAACCCTGCGCAAGTTCAACAGCAAGGACTGGGACTACAAGCTGGCGGTATTCCTGTTTGGCCAACAAATGACCCCGCACACCGAGACCGGCTGCAGCCCGGCGGAACTTCTGATGGGTCGTCGCCTAACCTCCCGGCTGGACTGTCTACACCTGGACAGGGCACCCGAGGTGGAACCGACAACGGAAGCGTACGCGGCCGCCAGAGGGTTCTTCCCGGAAGACCCAGTCTATGCGCGGAACTATGCACAAGGGCCACCCTGGATTCCCGCTCGAGTGGTACGGGTGCGAGGACTCCGATCCTACGAGGTCTCATGCGAGGACGGCCAACTGCTCCACCGCCACATTGATCAACTGCGGCGCCGGGTCCTCCCGGACGACCCTGAGGTCCTGGAGTCCACCGAGCCAGTCGAAGCATCAGTCCCTGAGCCAGTGCAGCAGAGTCCCGCCTCGGCTCCAGCCCCGGTCACTCCGGAGCCTCCTGCATTGCCACCACCAACTGCGCAACAACCCTCCTCCCCGCCACGGGTTACCGAGACAAACCCTACGGTCGCCCTGGAGCCGTGCCGCTCCACGAGGACCCGGAAGGCCCCAACGTACCTCCAGGACTTCGTGTGTGGGTAGTCGAAATTATGGGGGGAGGGGTGTAATGTATCCACCATGACCACGTGTGCGACCGTTGGACCATGCGGTCGCACACAGAGCCAAAAGCTTCGTCCCTGAAGAACAATAGCGGAGCGGATCCTAGCCCGCACCAACCAGAGGGCCAGATTCGCGGCCGAGAGCCTATGGGACTCTCGGCCACTGTAAATAGCCAATAGGGTGACTAGTGGGTGTGTTTTGGTGGTGGGTTTCTGGGCATATATACCGGCCTGCGTGCCGGGGCTTTTCGCCTTGTTCTGATCTAATAAAGTACTCTTTCCTGAATCACTCAACGTTTCCGAGTACTTTTCAGTAAATGCAGCCAAAATTTAATTACGATGATCCAAGCTTTTGTCTCAAAGCACCTTTGATTTGTCTCCAAACAAATGGCTGCATAGGGCACACATGATGGCAGCCCTAATATTTTCCTTATGAATTTAGATTGTACACGTTCAACTGCTTTATTAAAGCTGAGATCCAGATTGGAATGCCATACAGCAATTTGGCACTAATTTTGTAATTAAACACTCGAAGGGCTGCAGGGATATATTGATTCCCCTTAGTATTAAAAAAATGGGAAATCGTGAGAATGTTACTGTTCACAGATTTTAACACTTCTTTGAGTATCCCATTCAGACCTACAGTAGAAATAGATTCCTAGAATGCGGGACTTATCAAAGTTTAGGGTCAATTTATTCACTTCACAATAGTCTAGAAAGCAGGATAACATCCTTTTCATCCCTATTTCCAAGAGGGAAAGAAGAAGAAGAAGAAGAGATTGCATTTATACCCTGCCCTTCACTACCCAAAGATGTCTCAGAGCGGCTTACAAACTCCTTTCCCTTCCCCTCCCCACAACAGAACTCTGTGAGGTAGGTGGGGCTGAGAGAGCTCTTGACAGAAACTGCTCTTTTTCAAGGACAGCTCTTATCAGAACTACGGCTTGCCCAAGGTCGTCCAGCCAGGTGTAAGTGGAGGAGTGGGGAATCAAACCCGGTTCTCCCAGATTAGAGTCTGCACACTTAACCACTACACCAAACTGGCAAGCACCACATCATCTGCTTGCAGGAGTAACGGGACATGGGTTGCCCCCAATTTTGGATTATGTCCATCAGTTCCTTCTAAGAAAGAGGCCAGGTCATTTAAAAATAGGTTAAACAGTAGGGGAGCCAAAATGCACCCTTGTTTAACTCCAATAGTAACTCGAATCTTAGGAGTTAAATCACCCATCTTTGAGCATCTAACCTGGCAGGTAGTCTCAGGAGGGAGCTTTATAATCAAAACGAGCACTCTCTCGTCAACCCCCAGGTCGTCGTCCTCTATGTTTTTAAACTTTTATCTTTGCTTGTAATTTTGTTTCGATTTTGCAAATATTTGGTGTAGTGGTTAAGTGCGTGGACTCTAGTCTGGGAGAACCGGGTTTGATTCCCCAGTCCTCCACTTGCAGCTGCTGGATGACCTTGGGCAAGCCATAGTTCTGTCAGAGCTGTTCTCTCAAGGACAGTTCTGGAAAGAGCTCTCTCAGTCCCACCTACATCACAGTGTGTCTGTTGTGGAGAGGGGAAGGGAAAGGAGTTTGTAAGCTGCTCTGAGACTCCGAGTGAAGGGCGGGATATAAATCCAATCTCTTCTTCTTCCACTGACACGGCTCTTCCTTGTCCACAAGATTAGAGTGAAGTTTGAGTGTTGGCAGCTGACCTTCGGGAGACAAGTTTTATTTCTTTAGCGGGCGTTGCCAATTATGAGATAAGACCAGTTTTCACAAACAAAGACCTGGCAAAAACCCTTTTGGTTGGCAGCAGCTTAGATTTATTTTGAGCCACTGAGTTCTTTTATCGGATTTTAACATGAAAACATTTACGCGAATCAATTTCCTACTTTGAATTGATTTGCAGAGCTGGAGGACTGGGAGATTTTTCTGAGGCTGCTACTGCTGTGTCTGCTCTTTATTCTTCCATACTTGAGAATGAAGCAGAAAACAATGCCGTGAGGCAGAGCAGCCAAAAGATAGTGAGGACGTAAATTTAGGAGTTGGTGCAGGTTTATTTGAACTGCTACAGTTGACTGCCCAAACAGTGCAGTATATTTGTAAAAGGCTGCAGAAGTGGCATAAAAATGGATTTTATATGTAGACGGTTCGAAAGTCCAGCTGAGACAAAGAGTGCGTTGCAGCTAGAAATGGGGCCTTCAAGGAGTCTAAACAGTCGGTGGACGCTTCCTCTGGGGCAACTACTGTGAGAAGAATTACACAAGGACCAATATATAATGCTTGAGCAGGAGAGAAGTCTAACAAGCTGGGAAGGACCTGTCAGCTTGTGCTTCAACCTGCCAAGGTTTGTTTGACTATCAGCTCATATAAGGATGGCATTCCTAGATGGAACACTACATCTGCAGTCAAAAGACACCTGGAAACATTAATGGGTGAACAAGAATGCCATCATTCTTGCTACGGAATAGAAGGTTTCTAATGACAAGAGGCATTTTTCCAATTCGGGTGTATACAAACGTAATTTTGGCCCCACTATTTCCAAGGAAAAGGACTCCGGAGCACCACCATCCATGGAACTTGAGGGCTGAAGTAAGAAGGGAAAGCCACAAGAAGCCCCGCAAAGGGGCTGCTTCCTTCAACAATAAAGTAGTGCCTGCGCTTCCGGATGTTCTGTTGGAAGAAGGTGATGTTGATGAAAACATCAAAGGGGGATTTCTAGAGCTGTCTGACCAGGAAGAACACTGGATTATTGACCGATGGGAGAGCCTAAAGGGCAAGCTGGTTGACCTTAGAACTGAAAAGCGGCTGACAGCATTTTCAACTTCTGCCCCGATAAATGAGGAGATGGAGGTGAACTGTGACTCCTCTACCATAGCCCTCCCAATGCAGACCCCGATGGATCAAGACGTGGGGAAGCCAGAAGCACAACCTACTCTTTTATTTGATGAGAAGCCAGTGAAAACAGAACCTGGGAGCCCTGGCAAGGATCTAGAGGTTGCAGCTGAGCCCTTGCCCAAGAGGACGAGGAATGGCAGTGTCTTTCTTGATAAGAAAAAAGCACTTGACCTGATAACGGAAGTTGACTGACTGAGAGAAGAACCAGCAACTTCCAACCTTAAGATTCTTTCATGGAATACTGCTGGCTGGAAGAATAAGCTTGGTGAGCCAAATTTTAGTAGCTTCCTCAGGAAGTTTTTAATATATATATCGGCTTACATGACCAAAAGTCTTAAGCACACATACACACATTTATGGAATAAAAACAACCAGTAAAACGTCAACACTATTTAAAAAGCACATACATGAACAGTAGGATGTGTTATCCCAATATAAATGTGTTACACTGTCTAAAATCGTCTGACTACATAAAATAATTCCTCCAACTGGAACCCGCTACATCAAGTCAGAACAGTTTGAGCTTTCCTCTCCTTGTTCCTTTTTTTTGCCACCAGGGCCAGAAACGTGGCCACTGCTTTGGTGACTGAATCAACTCTGTCAGATAAAAGAGGAGAAATTGACCAGGGAAGGGTGGGGAGATTTTCTTTTATCAAGATAGGTATAATATACTTCTACCTCTCCATCTTCCAGTTGGGGCAAGCTAACACTATATGATCCATCATCTCCACCCTACCTAGGTTACAGTCGCACAGCCGTTCCGTGTATTAGGGGATCCTGTGTCCTTGTGTTTTTTTTCTAATACTTTTATGTTTTGCATAGTTTTAGTCTCTAACTCTTGTTTCTTTTTTTTTTTTAGATATGATGCCTGTGATATAATTGAGCCTCTTATGGTGGGTTTCATAGCATCCCATAGGATGTCAGGAGAGATGTCCTCCATGTCATTATTTTTAAAATAAAGATCTATTTGTTTTTGTATCTCCTGTCTAAAGTCCAAGTTGTTTAATAAAGAGGTATTAAAAGACCAGGACTTGTGTCGTTCATTTTCATCAAATTGAGTCAGAGAACAAGATACCCAAGCGTGGTCGGACCAGTGAAAAGGACCAATGGTAGCTTCCAATACTCTATGTGTCAAATCAGAAGAGATCATAAAGTAATCTAACCGGGAGTAAGATTTATGCCTGTCTGAGTAAAATGTATAATCCCTCTCACCAGGATGGATTAGTCTCCAAATATCAATAAGCCCTAGATCTTGAATCAACGGGGCTAGTTTTGTGGAGTTCCTTTTTCCTATTCTAATATGAGATGCACATCTGGATCTGTCTAAAACATCATCCATCACATAGTTGAAGTATCCGCCCAAAATTAGGCCGCCTTCAGCGAATGATTTCAGTTTCTTGAAAGTATCTTTGAAAAAGTCAATCTGTCCTTCATTGGGGGCATAAATGTTAGCCAGAGTAACCAATTTTCCTTCGAGGTC